TCTCCCGGGAACTATGTACCATATATGGTGGCAATGTCCAAAGATTAGACCATTTTGGAACAGAATTTTCGCCCTGATTTATAAGATAATGGGAGTTCGCGTTCCAAGAGAAGCCCAATACATATTGCTGAATTGCTCAATCCCAGGATTGTCAAGGGTCCAGGATAGATTAATTTTCTTCTTTTTCTTAGCAGCCAAAACAACTATAGCCAAAGCCTGGAGGGCACCAAGCATCCCCTTTAAACAATTTAAGTCAAAAATGTCATGGATAATGATACATGAAAAGATGAACAGCATACTTCATGACAATGAACAAAAATTTGAGCTAATCTGGTCTCCTTGGATGATATATAATGGCCTGAGAGACGAGATATGAAGCAAGATGGACTTGGGGTGGAGGGGAAGACCGGAATGTTAGCAGTATAGGGGAATTTGTGTCTATGTGTAAGTATGACTTGTATATGTGTTGTTGTCTGTGAATTTAAAATAAAAGAATTTGTAACGATAAAAGTTACACCAATGAACACAATTTCCTAAATCAATGTCAAAGAAAGAACACTTATCAGCAATGAGTGGCATGCACAGTGCGACAGCAATCTTGTCATAAAAATGACAACATATATAATACATATGTAATATTTACAATCATATTATCTTTTGTTTAGTGTTATCTTTAGAGCTTATTCGTTGCTCTAATTGCTTTATAATGTTATTATTAAACCATTAGCTCTTGCCCTTTATCACTGAATATTGCTCTTCAGACACGTAAGGCACACTTTACAAGTTGTCAACCAACAAGATGATCACCATTTACATTTTTTGTAAGTGATAAAAACCCACCCTAACCCTAAGGAACATACAACAGGGTGGGACTAAATGGTATTCCAGCATCCAGCCTCAGGTGGCAGTTTAATAATCTTGGGTGGCCTCCGCAAGACACTTGCTGGTGGACACAGCGATTGTGCCATCCTTGCCTATGAACTCTGGTGCCATCCTTGCCTATGAACTCTAGTGCCATCCTACAAAGTAAAAACAGTGAAGCGCCACGGACTGTCAGTTCTCAATAGGACTTGCTTATAGGCATACTGCAGGATGCTGCCCCAAAGAAGCCGGGAAAGCTGGAAATCTAGGAAATAAGCACAAAGAGGGGCGCCTTTCCTGGTGCAGATCACTTTTATTTCAAAAGTGTTTATTGAAATAAAAGTGATCTGCACCAGGAAAGGCGCCCCTCTTTGTGCTTATTTTCTAGTGCCATCCTTGCCTATGAACTCTAGTGCCATCAGCAGGTGCTCTAGCTCTGCTGTATATTCCTGAAAACATGTAGGCAGTTGGTGTCTGATGGCGCAGTTCATAGTTAGTATGGACAATGCAGATGGGGCTTCTTTGTGCCTATCCTTGTCAATGTCAAATAGAGGGTTTGGGTTTCAAAGCTGCTACCTTGTGTATGGTCCCACAATTCCTTTATCTGTTACTGACAGCATCCTGTCCTTTTAGGACTTTTTATTCTCTTTGCTACAAAATGTCCTGATTCAGAACACACCTTTCAAGAGAATTCAAGCAACTACTAGGCTCTGCCTATCATAAGAGAAAGGATATCTTAAATCCTAAATCTCAGTACTGCAAATCAGACACTGAATAAGACCCCATTGTGTTTAACATCTGGATTTCACAATTACATTTATATGTATTGCTTCTAATTTTAACTTTTATCTATTCCATCCAAAATTTTGTCTGGCCTTCACTTATCCACTATTAAGTGGATACATTTTTAAATACTGAAATGTACTCAGCACTGAGTTTTCTTTATCTTTTAAACTCTGTTTCCCACAAAGCAAGGCAGGTATACAAAATACAATCTATGCATTGATGCATTTTATAAAGTTATTAAACTTGACTGTATATGTTTTGTATTCACCAATGGGTTCATTGAATTGTAAGAAATGGAAGAGTAGAAGACAAACAGTTAAAGTATTCAAAATATGCCCAGCCATATTTTGTTTTCTAGATTTGCATAGGTAGGTAAAATTAGAACATACACTAAATTTTGTACTGCTCTCTGGAGCTCCATTAGAGAGATTTACCCTAATTTCATGTACTGCTGGCAATAGTTTCACTAGCCAGGAAGTGAGGGGAAAATTCTAACATGGACAAAGACATAAATAAAAATCCGACAGTGGTTTGAGTCTTCCCTTACTCTACTAAAGAAAATAATTTTTATTTGTGTTTTGCTGTTAGAAGGTTCTCCTCACTCCCTGCCTGGTAAAATGTCAGCAGGCCAGGAAGAGAGGGTAAATCTCCCTCCCCACTCTATCCAAAACTAAGATGATAGATTTGGCTGGACATGCAACGAGAGAGAGAGAGATGAACATTCAGATATAAGATCATCTCCCAAAAAGTGTGCAGATACCAAATAGTGCAGAGACTGTACATAGTTCCTTTTTTAATAAAATGTTTTCCATATATTTGTTTTTGTTCTTTTTTAAAAAAAAATCATACATCACAGCGCACAGGGAGTTAAATTGGACAGACACTGGGAAATCAATCATTAGCTGCAGTACCGCCCTACATAACTCCTCCCACTCCCAGCCTGCCTTAGCTTTTTGACAGTGTTCTTAGGTGATAGACCCCTAGGGGGTGATTTACTAACCTAAACACACGCACGCACCAGGTGCGTGTGATTTTCACACAGCAAAACGTATTCATCAACCAAAAAGTCTCTAAAAGCATATTTCCACTAATGCCATATATGGAAAAATCATGCACATGATGCATATATAATGCTGCTTCACAGTTTAGACAAAAATGGTTAGCTCATGCATTTACATTCCTGCATTCATCAACGCAAGCAACACAACATAGAGCTAATTTACACAACATCACCTTGCAATTCATGCAGGGCTTTGCACAACACACCTGCTGGGTGTGTACACACTACAAAGATGTTTAGATTCCACCCATAGATCATGCTGGGAGGGAACACACTACAGAGGTGTATACATGTTCGTGGTGTGTTTATAAGGTTAGTAAATCAACCCCCTTCTCTCAGCTCAGAGAGAAGTACATACTTGTTGCACTATTTTTTCTACAGAATCCTTCAAGCAAATATTCATACATTCTGATTTTAAGCCACTGTGGCACCTCCACCAGCTATCTGGATCGGTTTTCTCTTTGGCAGAGCCTTGGTGGATCAGATCATATCCAAACCCCAATGTACAGAAGACCACCTTGGCACTTGTGCAGCGTTGCAGTAGCCGCATGGTGCTCTACAGGTCTAGAGTCAAAGTCTATCTCGGGGGAGCCCTGACCCTGAATACCTTCCAGGGGGTATGTCCACCTAGAAGGCATGTCTTCCCTGAAAGCTGCTGCATACATGGTAAGGGCCCAAGCTGCGGACATGCCCCCTAGGTGCCCAGGTGGTAGCCCAGTCCTTTAATAGGTTAAATCTGTGGCTGTGCAACTCTTGTGCGACACTCTTAGTGATATTTGATCATACCTGCACAGCCTCTCTTCCAGGTACCTTATTGCGCAGATGCCCACTATATTCTCTCTCTGGCACATGCTCTGGCTGAACACACACTTCTGCTGCTGCTGATGGTGCTGTGATTCTGCACTGGCACAGAAAAGGGAGAAAGCTGTACCATTACTATGCCTGGGTCACCTTCTGTCTGAACATGTTTGGACACAGAGCATACTGCTCACCCACAGGCCTTGCCCTTTCTGGGGGCACGTATGGTGGATCACAGATACAGAGATCCCTGGGGGGGTGGCGGGGGCACAGCAGTTCTGGTGAGGTTTCTATCTCTACTGAGGGTGCTATCTCTGTGACTTTCGGCTACAAGTGGACCCCTTCTCCTGCTCCCTCGGATACCTCCTCTGACTCTCCTCTACCTGCATTGGCACTGCCTGAGGAGAAAGAAGAGGAAGTGACTGATTCCCACCCTCAGAAGTCATTTCAGGAAGAGGGCCTGTCTTCTGATATTTTCCCTGTGTTCAGGAGCACTATTTCTGTCTAGCGTTCATGCCCTTTGCTAGAGAATGCATTTTTGGTGAATTCTTTAAAACGTACATCAAGAAAGCCATGGGTAGGTGGGGCAAAAGTATGTTCTTACTTAGAAGAAGGATTCTACGACTCTGGTTGCAAAATCTTCTGCTCCCTCCTTTAAGAAAAGTTCCTTTTCTCCTTCCCAGGCCTCACGTTCTAAGCCCAAGCATAGTATACAGTCCCATAGCAAGGCCCGGCCCTCCAAGCCTAGGTACTTAGGTTTTGTTGGCTCCTCAGAAGATAGCCCTCTGACTTAACTCACTTGCAAGGTGGCCTTTCTCCTTGCCATCACTTCTGCTGAAGAATAAAGTTCAGGCTTTTTAGAATGCTAATTTTGGTCATAAGGCCCTTAAGGTGGCCATTTGACTCTTGGTCAAGCCTCTGTTTCTAGTTTCCGGTTGAGGTTGTTGGAGTTGTTGTTGTTCTTCTTGGGTCTGTTATCCATTGTTTGCTGTTTTGTCCACCCCTTGGTTGGACTGCTTTTGAACATCCCAGCAGTTAAAGGATATAACTTCTTGTGTCCTGTGAAGTACGATCAAGAACACAGGTGCTTTGTCTTACCAGTAACATCCATTGCTTAGCGTATATTACAGGACAGAGGACCCTCCCTTCAGTTTTCTGTGATCCATTCTATACTGCTTGCTACAAACCTGAGGAAGGCTGGCAGTGAGAGGGACTATGAAGAGCTTTCCTAGAGCTTTGATTAATTCACTAGTGTACTATCACTTGGAGGCAGCTACATAACCCAGTAGTTAAAGAATCTAGCACCCTGCGATCTACAGATTTTGCAGGTAAGACTAAAATGACCACCACATTAAAACTTCAATCGTTAACCACATTCATAATCTATGTCTTGTTGTGTTTTAGAAGCTGAGAAGACCCCAAAGTATTGGAATGATAATGCTAGAGAGACATTAATGGCTGCTCTGAATCTGAATCCAAATGTCAACAAAGCCAAGAATCTCATTATGTTCCTCGGAGATGGTAAATAAGGAACTGGCCAACAAGGCTAACATTTTAAAGAACTTGTACAGTTATTTGTTTCTTTTTTAGATGAGCTTGATGTCAATTGTCTTACCAATCTTCTTACAATGCATTGAAACACTCCCTTTGTGGATGATATCTTACCATAAACTAACAATGTCTTGGAAAAAAAACCCCCATGAAATTGTCCCCTTAAATTCGCTGGGAAACCAACACTTCTATGAGTGTCACTTTTCTGGGTCCCCTGCAGCTCTTACTGGTTCTTCCTTCTGACCGTCACATCAATGCAGGACACAGTATTAATGTGGAGATCAGCAGGAGGAACCATTAAGAGCTGTATGGGACAAAGGAGGTCAACATTCCAGGAAGTGTTGGGTTTCTAGCAGACTTCAGGAGACAATTTCTTAGGATTGGAACAGTGTTGAGGTGATATGGATAGCAGAAAGGGTAAATATTTACCTTTTCTGTTACATGTAATCTTTAAGTTTAAGAATGTCTATGAAATACCATAGTTGTCTGCAGATTGTGCAGACTGTGGGTCAAGACCCCAAATTAAATATTTTAGAGTACACTCACACTTGGGTTTCAGTTGCAAGCTAAGCGTCAGTGATATGTGGTACATACATTAACCATATCTAAACAATCACTTTTATCATGAGAGCTTCTGGCTACAAAGAAATCCCTTAGAACTATTACGGAACCCTTGGATTTTATAGTAAATACTTCCCTTCATAGTCCCATTGTGATATTTTTTAGCTTATTCACATTTTTATTGTAGATTAGATCCATGTTTATCTTATGTTTATGTTTTTGTCTTATGTTTATCTTATGTAGGGGGTCAACTTTAAACTTGTAGCTTGCAAAAAGGTAGTCCCCAAAGTGCCTTTTATGGGTTTCGTCCCCATGTTTGCAAGTTGCAAACACAAAAGAGATTTCCTCACAGGGGGTCTGTATCAGCACAGTCCAATAGCATACTGTGTATATAT